AAGGCTGAAAGAGTTGGGTCTGTTTAGCCTGGGAAAGAGAAGGCTTAGAGGGGACAGGATTGCAGTCTTCAAGTATCTGAAGGGCTGTCATGTAGAAGATGGAGCAGATCTATTCTCTCTTGCTCCGGATTGCAAGACTAGATCTAATGGGTGGAAATTACAAGGCAGCCGTTACCGGCTAAAGATCAGGAGAAACTTCCTAATTGTAAGAGTGGTTGAGCAGTGGAACAGACTGCCTCGAGAGGTGGCGGATGCTCCTTCGCTGGACGTTTTCAAGCAGAGGCTGGACGACTATCTTTCGGGTATATTGTAGGTTTGTGGGGCTCTCTTTCAGCTATGCTCCTGCAAAGTGCAGGAGGTTGGACTAGATGACCGGCAAGGTCCCTTCCAACTCTAACATTCTATGATTCTGTGTAGAGGGGAAGGCCTCGGCCTCTCTGCCCTGTTGTTGGCCCTCCAGAGGAACTGGTTGGCCACTGTGTGAGACAGGATGCTGGACTAGAGGGACCCTCACTGGTCTGATCCAGGAGGGCTCTTCTTATGTTCTTATGAGGGGAAGGCCTCATCCTCTCTGCCCTGTTGTTGGCCCTCCAGAGAAACTGATTGGCCACTGTGTGAGGCAGGATGCTGGACGGTTCACCCCAATATTTTTAGGAGTCATCTCTCGAAAGAAAGAAAGAAATGCATACCTCTTTTACTGAGAGCCAGTGTGGTGTAGTGCTTAAGAGTGTCAGGCCAGGATCCAGGAAACCCAGGTTCAGATCTTCACTCTGCCATGGAAGCTCACTCCATGACTTGGGGCTAGTCACTCTCTCTCAGTCTAACCTACCTCACAGGGTTGTTGTGGGGGGAAAATAGAGACGAGAACAACTTAAGGCATTTTGGGTCCCCATGCGGGAGAAAGGTAGGGGTATAATTAAGTAAGTAAATAAATAAATAATCTTGGTGCTTGGGGGGTACAGTGGGCCCTGCTGGTGAACCTCCTGATGGTACCTGGTGTTTTTTGGTGGGAACGCCATGTGACAGAGTGTTGGACTGGATGGGCCACTGGCCTGATCCAACATGGCTTCTCTTATGTAATCTTATCTCGAGTGCTCATGCACACCAATGCAAGCGCATGAATACTAAGGAGCCATGCAGTGCTCTGCCTGTCATTTCAGTCGCTGAATTTTCAGACTCTTGACGACAGACTGTATGATTGGTATATTTGTCTACTATAGCTTTAAGTGAAAGAACAGTCTCTCAGCTTCTGAATCGCTTCAGAGTAAATGAGTGCAACATATATCTTGGGCGGCGAAGGGCCTCCAGCAATGCTTGATGGCTGTGGTGGCAACGAAGCTTACAGAGCAGTCCTCGGCATGAGAAATGAGGAGTTGAAAAAATGTCAGTATCTACGACATGACAAGAAACAGGCTTTTAAGAGGGATCAGAAGGAGGAGAGAGAGGCAGCACCAAATAGCAGTTCTGCCAAGCAGTTCCAGGCATAAGGGGCAGCAAAGGAAGGATGGGCATCGGCAGATCTTGGGATGCCTGAGGGTGGTAGAGCAGGAAGAGAAAGAGTCCATTGAAAATTCCAGGTGTGACCTTCCTGTGTCTCAGACCTCCAGACTTTGTGGCAAGAGAGACTAGGTAGCTAGATAGGCACACTGACCTTTCTTCCTGTGTTTACTCTTCTGCTACTGTCCCCTTTGAAATGAAGATTGTGTTCTCAGGACCAACTTCCTTTCCTTCTGTTCTCTCTCTCAGTTGATGAAGATGAACTCTCTCTCTCTCTGCATGCACCAAGAGAGAGACATGCTGTCCTCTTGGCACCATGAGGCAGACAACCCTCTTACCATCTGCTTCCATCCTTTAGCTAGTAAGTTAGTAATCTGTCAGTCTCTGCTCTTTCTTATCCACAAGTGTACTTCTCAAATAAAGAGAGAAGTATTTCTCTTTTAAACTTGCAACGTGGCTCTGTGTAGCTTTGTAAGCTGGGTAACCTGGTGAAGTAATGCTGCTGCGTTTGTAGCTTTATTCAAGCATTCTGCTAACTAGTGGTAACTGGACTAACACACCAGTGAACCCCAATAGGTTATGGGCCCAGCACGCTTCTGCTGCATTTGTAGCTTTATTTAAGCACTCTGCTAACTAGTGGTAACTGGATTAACTACACGGGGTAACCCCAATAGAGTCAAAGCATGGTATTAAGTTCTGGTTATTGTATCTCCAAAAGGACATTGCAGAGCTGGAAAAAGTACAGAGGAGGGCAGCCAAGATGATGAGGGGACTGGAACACCTTACCTATGAGGAAAGGCTGAAGAGTCTGGGACTTTTCAGTTTAGAAAAGAGATGACTAAATGGGTGGTGGTGGCATGATAATAGGTTTATACAATTATCCATGGGGTAGACACAGTGGACAGGGAGAACATTTCTCCTTTTCCCAAAACACTAGAAAGCATCCAATGAAGTTGATGGGCAGCAGATTCAGGACGGACAAAAGGAAATACTTCTTTACACAATGAGAGACTAAAATGTGGAATTTGCTGCTGGGGGAATGTAGTGATGGCCAACGGCATACACCACTTTAAAAGGGGATTAGACAGAACAGGTCTATCAGTGGGTACTAGCTAAGGTGACTAAAAGGAACCTCCACATTCAAAAGCAGCCAGCCTCTGAATCCCAGAGCCAGGAGGGAACATCAGGCCTCTTTGCCCTGTTGTTGGACCTCCAGAGGAACTGGCTGGCCTCTGCGTGAGACAGGATGCTGGACTAGAAGGACCACTGTTCTGATCCGGCAGGACTCTTCTTAGAATATTCTTATTACGTTCAAACCAGACATACACAGTACCAAGCATGCCTTATTTCGATGACTAAGGGGTAGGTAGTAGAAATATAGATTCCCTCCCCCAAGACTGCTACCTGTCAGCTCAAAAATACTGGACAAGATGGACCACTGGTCTGATCCAGCAGAGCTCTTCTTATGTTCATATGTTCTTGAGGCCTCAGCCTCTATGCCATGGGGTTGGACCTCCAGAGGAACTGGATGGCCACTGTGTGAGACAGGATGCTGGTCTAGATGGACCATGAGTCTGATCCAGCAGGGCTTTTCTTATAGTCTTATGAGGGGAAGGCCTCGGCCTCTCTGACAGTATTTGATTTCAGACCAGCCACAGACTTTCTGCCTAACGGCCCTAACCTACATTACAGTGTTGCTGTACAAATCACAAAGCCGAAGAGAATGAGGTAAGCTGCTTTGCTCCCCACTAATGAGAAAGACAGAATTTTGCCTAAAAAGAGACTGCTGAGAGGGGAGGAGATAAAGTTGCCAGCTTTAGGTATGGAAGTTCCTGGAGATTTGAGGGGTGGAGCCTGGGTAACAATTGTTGCCACTCTCCAGGTGAGGGCTAGAGAGCACTCAAAATTACAACTGCTCTTCAGGTAGCACAGATCAGTCCCTCTGGAGAAAACAGTGGACTCTGTCATTATACCCTGCTGAGGTCGCCACAGCAAATTGACACTGTTTGCCCAAAGCCAGTGCACTCTCCCAGAGCCTCTTTCTAGATCTCGTTGTATTTATTTCCACAACGGGCCTTATTTCTAGTACTGGAAATAAGGAAAGATAGTCCATGGTAGTTCAGAGCTAGAAATGTGTGCTGGAAGAGGACAGTAAACCAGAGCAGGGATCTGGAAACAGGAATCTCATGGTCTGAACAGCAAACGAGTGA